ACAAATATTCAAATATCGCGATTTCTGATATGTGAAATTCAACCTTGATTTAGGAAGAAGTGGGCGGCTTACAACATGATCACTATTTTAATGTTATTTTCAGTTTTTCATTATATTAGGCAACGTTAAAAAGACGCCAATGTAGCTACTTAGTAGAGACACGAAAAATATAGTGGCGCCCGTGTTTTTACTTCTGAATGTTTCGTGGGAAATGATTATAGTATTTTGTTCATTGTTTCGAAAACGAAAACAAGGAGTGTGATTAGCTGGAAAATGTTGTAGGCATTTTCCAAGGGTGATTGCTTCAAAACTTCCAAAATTTTGATTTATGAAGGTGAGGCTGGAACTAACTAGTCCGGTGATCTGCGGTGATCCTTTCTCCTTTATTTCCTGAAATACGAGCCATTTCCTTATGTTGGCGTGTCGAATCTTTGAATCTTCATGAAGTCTTTGTGGGTTACAATTTCTTGCGTATAATCTTAATTGTTATTTTTTCCATTGCAACAAATACGAAAACTCTTCGTTAGGGAACTACCATTTCCATTCAGCGGGGGATACAATGTTCATTAATTTTGCAGTTAGATGAAAGTTTGTAAAAATAATCCTTTATAAGACGCTTTGGTGTAAAATGTGCATACATTCAGAATTCTTTTGACTAACGCAACATGCAGACCGTTTCTAGGACTGTGTATTAAAACTGACGTAAGTTTTTAATGTCGGTAGATTTCCCTTCCTGATGACGTTTTTTCTTGTTTACTCCTCAGGCAATATTGACAATATTATATGTTATATTGTTTATTCAGTAGAGTCTCGGCATTATATCTCTCAGAAATTTATAATGGTGTTGAGATATTTTGATAGATGACCAATAATTACTTTTCAATTCATTTACTCTTGGACTCGTCCAGAATAATATTGCACTTGGCTTGCAAACTAGTTTCTTTTTATGACATTAATCATCTTAGGTCATGAACTTCAATGAAAATACAGGACCAAAAAAATTTGGATATGCTGGGGAAGCGAACATTAATTTTATCACTACTGTGTTTCAGGAAATAACTGTTGCTGTGAAATAGCAAGTAATGACTGTAGTTTTTAGAAATATTTATGGAATTATTAAAATCAAGAAAATTTTATGTTAAATGGAAGTAATATTATGGTTTCTGAAAAAGTTGTGGCAAAAATTGGAAAAAAAAAAATATTGAAAATTGACAAATAACAATGACTTTCAGACTGAAGTTAGTTTTTTAAATTCCATAAAATTATAATAAATTTGCAGAACTAGTGACTGTTGGAGTATAAGAATATATCCTGTACTGCCCTTAAGCTTTTATGATGGACACAATCAAATTCTTTTAAATTTTCAGTCACTTCTATTATAATAAATTGGCAGATGTTTTCACCTGGCTGATTCCTTTGAACAAAAAGGGCAATTAGATGGTGTTAATTTTTTGACAATGAAATATAGTTACTGTTGTTAGCAAGCTGTCCTTGAATGGACTTATATTTGGAAAGAGCTGTGGCAAGAGAAACAAAAGGAAACTGTTTTAATTAGTAACACTGTGTAGACAAAATGCTACTCAATGCAGGTTTAATGAAATTAAATTTTAAAACATTTTATGTCAGTGCCAGTGTTTGGAAATGTCCTTGTGAAAACAAGATTCATGTTTCAAATGTATGCTTTATCGGTCTATTTTAAGGTGCCAAAAGATTATCTTCCAACAGTTGATGCAAAAGTTTGGCTCAAATAGCTAAATTGAGTAATGGACAGCTCTGGGTAATTTGAAAACATACAATCATGCGTGTCTACTCAGAGTGAAATGATTCTTATCATTTAATCATTAGAATTTTTTATCAGCTTCATGGAACTTTTAGACTTTTCTTTGCTGTAAGCGTACATTAAAATTGCAAAAACAAGTCTATTTTATTTTTGTTTGTAGAATATTCCTGTAAGTTAGAGGTGCAAAGAGAAAATTTTATATCAGGGCAGAGTAATCAACTGTCCTTTTTGTCATTTGTTTCTCAGATTTACTTCCAAAAAGTCAAACTTCACTGAGTTTTGTTATTTTCATTTTTGTCATTACTTTGGAGGGTTGTCAGTTTTCATGGGTTGCTTCTTTCGAAGGGTGGATACCTTGGTTTATAGTGGTTTACATTCTCACTGAAAACAGCGTGAAGAGAGAGAAGAGCAAGAACTTTATTAGGAGACCATAGCACAGTACAGATAGTGAAAAACAGGTCTCAGTTTCAAACAGATTACAATCACCGTGTTTACATTGGAGTTGTTCACTATCAAGGCTACCCAGTTCTTTTGCATTAAAATTCTAGCTTGTTGAGCTTAAAATATCAAGAAATTTCTGTGGCTTTATTGGGTCCAAGTAAATTGAGTTGCAAAGATCAGCTACCCAAATTATAATATTAATAATGAATAAATAATAATGGTACTTTTATAGTGGAAATTAACATGTGGATATGTTCACATGCACTTTACAAAATTATTCATAAAAACTATTCACAAATAAAAAATTAAAATGGAAATCATGATCCTAATTCTAATGATATTAACATTGAAATAAAAAGAAAAATGCATCACAATCAGTGATAAAATAAATTAGAAGAACAAAAGAATAAAATAAATAAACTAAAAAAATTGTCTCTATACATCAACATTATGAACATTATTCCAATATCATAAACTATGTAATTAATGTCAGTTATATATTATAAGCCACTTCAAATAAATATGTTTTTAAAAGAGGTTTAAAGATTGTAAAAATTTTAAACTTATTACATAACTACAATTGTATGTTACTGGCATTGCTGCAAATTAATTGGTTATAATAATTGGTCTTGAAAATAATAGAAATGGGGTCAGTCTATGGGAAAAAAGGACACATTGCTTTTGGACTGAGACGTGATTTTTTGTGTCACTGTACCCAAATTTGCAATCAGTCAATCACAGACTGTGCTTACTGTCCTGATATCCTGCAATATCAAGTCAATGACCCAATAGGGCTACGATGTCATGGTCACTTTGGCCAAATTTGGGTATGATATATCTATAAATAATGTTATTATACCTTTTGTTTTAGTCTGCTTGGCAGTATATCGGGTGCCTTTAGTCTTGCCACCAAAATACAAACCATGGCGCAACCAAACATGCCTAATATGCTGCTGAAACATAACAAAAAAGTATGATGAGGTATAAATACAAGTCGCAGGGACTGCCTAGTGGTAGCAAATTGTAATAAAATCACTGTGACAGAGGACATTTGTGGTTGTTGTGAGGCAGGGAATTTAACACTGAATGATTTGCTATTTTAAATCATGGCTAAGCCTACAAATTCATAGAATGTATAAACCTCTATCGTGGCTTTTTTCATCACTTTGCTTGGTACAGTTGTGGAGAAAAGTAAAAACTGCAAAAATGGCAGGAGTTTTTGTTTAGCTGCCTGACTTTGTCTGATTCATAAACACCTTATTTTATGCAGTGCCTCATTCCCTAAGGCATCAGTTGTAGACAGGTTGCCTCCCACTTTCAGTGAAATTGAAAATGGACCATGAAGCATTTTACTATTCTGCCAAAATGTAATTCTGATTAGCTTGACCAAAGTAATGAAGATTTTAAATTTGAAGACTTCTTCTTGAACTTAATACTGATTTAAAAGCCATAATTATTATTATGTTCTTCATATCAGATTTGCAATGAGATGCTATTATTAAAGAAATAGCAAGAATAGTTGCAAATAGGCTTGTGTCTCTATGGAAACACGTCAAATTTTGCTGTCTAAATATTTTTTTCAAGCACTCGACTCTCATTTTCTATTTTCTGACAGTAAGGGGATTGTTTTTTGAATTGACGAAACAACAAAGCTAAATTACATGTGACTGTGATGTAAGCATGTCATTTTAACAAAATCTTTTTCTCTTTAGTTATAGTAATTGGTTGCAGTGTGGCTGGGATTGCAGGGTTGGCGTTAGCAGGGTACTGCTGGTATAAGTAAGTAAACTCGCATTAATTTTGTTACAGTATTTCTTTGAGAGATGTAGTTTTTAAGTTGTTATTTGTTATGTTATTCAAGCAGCTTACCAAGTGTTGGACTTCAAGTAGTTTATCTTTTTGAGGGCAAAGGGAGAACCCTTTAGCTTGTTCAGCGGTAATTACTGCTGTTTGCATCACTATCTGGCCCAGTTATTCACAGCACAATTGAGCCAGTTAATGCAGCATTAGTGTGAATTTTGTCCATAGTCTTACAACAGTTTATATTTACCTTTTTGTATGACCTTTTCAAAAGTCATCAACTCCTCCCCTGGTGTGTGTTTTCTTGAATACCAAGCCTTGTTTACATGAAATTATTCTCAACTCTCATTGTCCAAGGAATTATGTCATCTTGCTCCATTGGGACTTTGATAATAATTATTTCATCTTCACTTTTTTACTTAATAGAAAGTAAGGCTTGGGGGTGAAATTAACACGAGTATCGTCAGCGAGCGAGTATCGTCAGCCGAAGAGTACGAGGGCGGACGGTAAATTCCTGAAATAAAAAGAGACCTTTTTGACTTGAATGGGAAAACCTCCAGCCAAATAATCTCTAAGTGAGCATTCTCCAAGTCAGCTCTACGCTTCACACGCAGATCTTGATTGACAAAGGCCATTACACCGCCACCACATTTCGATATTCTGTCACAGCGATAAATTGTAAATCCGGGAACGGCATATAATGAGTCAGGAATATCAGGCTTTAAGAATGTTTCGTTTAAGAAAAGCATGTCAACTTGAGGTCTACCAGACTCTCCGGCAAGGAAAAGCTTGATCTGATCAAACTTAGTTGAAGTTAAGCGATTAACATTCCAGTGACCAATCCTTAAACCTTTATCATCCAAATCAAGATCAAAAAGAGGATACAATTCGCAGTGGTCTAGTTTGATCAAAGAATCAAAGGTGTCATACAAACCACTGTACGAACTCGACAGCGTACTTCCATCAAGCGAAAAAGACTCATCACTTAGGCTGTTGGGTGCAACCTGCGGCAAAGGTCCAGCAGGACCTGGATTCAAGGAGACAAAGTCATTGGGTATTTAATTTAGGGGGTGAAAAAGCGGCCGTATGACCCGAATGAATACAAATGAAGACAACGTCATATAGATATACCAACGCCCTGCTAATGAAGCATTGTGACAACATGTTGCAATGACATAGTACCCCAGGGACAAGGTTACACAATGCATGATAAATACATTTTATTGTTTTGCTGTGTTTGAATGGTTAAACTAAAATGTAATATTTTCTTGTAAGGCTGCACACTACAGCAAAGGCTGTGAGTGAAGCAGAGTATTCAAGTTATGGAGCTACAAAACAGGGTGCACAGGTCACTAAGGTATGTTTCCGTTCACTATGGAGATTTGTATGATTAGTAAATGATAAAGATGAAATGTTTGCCACGAGCATGGGATGAGGAAAAAAATCTGAGTCTCCAACAGGATTCGAACACATTACCTGTTGGGAACTCAGATTTTTTCTTCGTCCCATGCTCGTGGTAACATTATTTTCATCTTTATCTTTTATTCACCAGGCTGCAAATTTACCATCTTTCACTTATCACATACACTAGTAAGTTAACCTTGCCACTCTAAACTTGAGTATGGTAAAAACCAAATTAAACCTTTTATTTGGCTCTGGCAGCATATTATGTTTGTTTGGTCTTTCCATGGGTGTTTTGGCTTGACTATGTTATTAGAAGGCAAGGAAAGTTGTGTCCAATAACCTGGGGCTTGTGGATTTTGCAACTGGGCTGGTAGATTCTGTCCTTCACTTGCCTAACTGGTGAGTAGAGTTTCTTGGGAAAATTTTTGATGAAATTTAACTACTTAAAGACTGAGATGAATTGTTTTCAGGGTAGTGAGAATGACTTCCCAGTTAGTACATCATAGTTACAGCTTGCCCAGATGTCAAGCCTGAAAACTGGTTTTCTCTGCATCCTGTGGCTTGCAAAATACAAACCATGACTCAACCAAACTCACCTGATATTCACAAACATAAGCCGAGCTGTAAACATGCAAAGGCCCCTGTGCAATCCCCTGGCCACCTCGCGCCAATGCCCAGGGAGCGACTGCTGGCCAGCATTGTTTCGCGTTTAACTTAGCCTAAATTACATTCAGCTACATTAAAGGTGTAAGTATTAGCCAGAAAATATGAAAGAATTGATAATAAAACCTGAATGTAATGATGTGAGTGTATATTTTCAATAATGGAATTTTGTATGTTGTTTTAGGGAGACCATAAGCTTGATTACAGTGCAGAAATATATCATTATCAGCAGACAAAAAGTCAACTGTCAGCCATGGAAAAGTAAGTTGATATAATTATGTACAGATTGTATGCAGTGATTACTTTATTCCCTAGTGCCATTGTTATGGTCATTGTGTAAGAATTATTTTTGTTTCAAACCAGGGCTAGTGGAACGAAGAGAGGGATTAAGGGAGAGACACTTGATGATGACGAAAATAGTGATGAGGGAGATGATGAAGATTACACTGTCTATGAGTGTCACGGACTGGCTCCGGTAGGTTGTCCACATAGACATGCTGTGTCAACAACAACATGTTGAGATGGTTACTGTCATTTAGAATGTCACAGGTAGCTTTTGCTCAAATTATGGTTTTTAGAGGGAAATGGTTATGAAGCCCAGCAAACATCAAAGGAGGAAACAAAGATGTCAGGATTTATGTTGGAAGGTCCACAACCGTGCACAATCTTTTGTTTTTTGCTCATACACTATGAATGAATTACGTAACCAAAATGTTTCTATTGGTTAGTTCCTCAGTACGGAGTAAACAACTATTAAACATGGTCAAGGCCAAAAAAGAGAACAAAAACACACAGCAAAGAAATTTGCCGGGTTTCATAACCATTCCCCTATGCTCAAATGCAGAAATAGGAAATAACTGTTATTCCTCTCTTTTGAAAACCAAAAGGTGATGTTTACCATTGTTTGTTAAGGAGAGAACACAGTTCAAAGGACACTGTGTAGCCTTCTTTTAGCTGATGCATTCAATTACCATACCTTTGTAATTTGCATTGGAAACACATTTTCTACATTTATTATTGTTTACTTTGCAGACAGGTGATATGACAGTTGTCAACCCCTTGTTCAGTGATCAAGAAGTGGTTGGCAGTGATCAGGATGGCAATGGTGATAAGAGCGGTGCTAGTGGTCAAGGATCTCCTGTAGCCCCTCGACATTCATTCAAAGAATCTTAAAATAGCTAAATATTAGTTAAGAGTTTGAGTTGTTTTATTTTTTGATCAATCATTGGATGTTAATGTTACTTGTCAGTGTGGTTTTGGTTCTTAAATTTAAATATGAGGGTGCACCTACCTGGTTTGACAGTTGTTTTTTTTTCTTGTCTAAACTACGGTTTTTATCTTGTAGCTTAGGTGAAGATAACTTTCAATAATTTATGCTTAGTGTTTTAACTAAAAGATCCTCAAAGAGGAATAATGTGCCCTACCTAAAGATTCTGCATGTGAATATTGCAGGAAAATCATTTCAATATTGTTTTTAGTTGAACTGACTTGGCTAAAATCAATGGCTTGGTGCACCCATTAAATACAAATGGCTTGGGTTAACCCCAGGGATGGATAGATATAAAAGTAGGTGAAATAATAATGACATGGAAAGAAGTTTTATACAAAAAGAATATTATTGAAATTTCAAATTATAATTTTTTATATCTGGGTCATTGGTACAAAGTTTGTGTTAATTCTGAAAAATTATTTGGATGTATTTCCAAATTGTAAATAAATAATCCCATCACACTAGTGTTGTGTAGTGACAAATCCAGTGGATTGGTCTTGGCGATTCTGATGGGTGATTCAACTATAAACTATATACTATGTATTCACAGATAAAGTTATAGCAATCATTATCAATAATAATAATATTGTAAGTAGAGTATATGTGCATGCTGAGTCAGTATAAGAAGCCAGAATTGCAGCACTTCTGCTAGTCACTTGCTTTATAAACTAAAAGACAAATCAAACTCTATTGTTTCATTTCAAGACTGTTTTGTATGTGACAGAATTGCTTAAAAGTGTGACCCTAGTGCCTTTTACAATAAAAAGGCCTATGGGTCTTGGATAAGGTCTGTAAATTGGTTGTGAAAAAGTAAGAGTGCTGTTATGAAGCTGACAGGTACACGTAGTTTACTTTTTATCATGTGACTTCTGTGTGCAAAATAAGTGATGCCAAGAATGCAAAACCTTAATTTAAGAATCTTTAAATTCAGACAGGTCCTCTTTAGATTTGAGTGCAACATTCTCTGTGAAAATTGTGAAATTAATGAATTTGAGACTGTTGCAGTGGAAATGAAGAGCAAAGTGTTTCCATAGCTTCAAGGAGGGAATTTTTTTTTTTTCAATGAAGCGATGGTTGTTACAGACTTGTACCTTGGGACCCTTGAACTCTAGAAAATTAAGATTTTCAACTTGTGGAGCTTGGTTAAACAGTAAGGGACTTCAATATACTTCAACATACATATCATTGTCATAGATTACTTCACATTAGAATAAGTTGTTAGGATACAAAGAAGCAAGGCTCTATATGTTAAATATGATTCATGTTATTTCAGTGATTTCAAAGTTATTCAGAAAAGACAGAAGGAAAAGCTCTTTTGGGGAGTGTAAATTGAGAACTTGGTTTTGCACATTATTTGAAGTATTGTAAATGAACTCTCCTTAGGGCTCTCTACCCTTTTCTCTTGGTGTTCAAAATCAGAAATAGGAACAGAAACTTGGAACGACTTAACGAACAAGATATATGTAGTACTTTGTTTAAATCGTGAAGAAAGTTAAGAATTTTATGACAAAAATATATATTGTTTGATATTCATACTCCTTCCTGACCATTTTGGATCACATTTTCTACTTAACAAATTGACGTCAGTTTTTCATGTGTTTTTCTTGTGACTGATCATGAATTTTGTTCTAACATTGTCAGTGGTTGTGGATCCACAAGGCGATATCTGCAGACTACTTTGACAATGTTATGATGAAATTCATTGTCAAAAACAGGACAGACACATGAAAAACTCACGTCAATTTGTTTTTTACGATAACAAATTGTCAAATTGTCCACTCTTCGCTCATTGATGTATCGCATTAATTATAAATTCATGTATCTATCCGCATATTGGCAATGAAAATTAACCAATGAGTGCACAAGAATTTCTGCAGTTATCGTAAAAAAGTTTATTTATTTCTCTCACATCTTTGTAAGAACCCAGGAAAGCTGAGTAACCAAGCTCCACATTGTTGAATATGTTGGGGGTGGGGATGGGGCTGGGCAGGTGTCCAAAGAGGTGTGAACGTGGATAGCTTTAATGTAAACCATTAATTTTATTTATCTTTAGGTTTCGTTATTACTAAGCATCTGGTTTTGTTTATACTCAATTCACTCAGTCATGTGCATACTTCTGAATAATATTATAGAGAATATATTAATTTTGACACATGCACGCCACGTGAGAATGCTATTACGGTTCATATCTATTAACTTCAAAGTGCCTGAAAATAACAATCGTGTTTATTTTGGATTCAGACTAAATTTTTGGAAGGTGTAAAATTCTTTTCAAACTGCCTGTGTTTTGTTGTGAATAGAAAAGTGTGTAACCTATTAAAGCATCTGGATGTTCTTCCAAAAGGGTTTATTTGTTGAGTATTCTGTTTGCTGAGAGATCCTGAAAAGAAAGCTCGCTGGGTGTCCCTGGATCCAATTTTAATCAAGACAAAGTTTCCCGCTCTCGGCTTAACCCCATGGTTGGGGCTGAGGTCATTTGAAGCTGTTGGGAATCTTTGATTATAAAATTGGCCTCATTAGCATAATCGCTCCAGTCTCTAATTGAGCTACAAAAATACCAACTTTGGATATTGAAAGGGCGTGGCACGATGAACTGCCCCAAGAAACTGGAGCCCCATTTATTAAATATTTTTTGTGTAATGCGGATTTTAGGTCTTACAATGTTCGACGTCAAGCCACAAAACCTTTAGCCTCGACATCTTTAGGCTATTTAAGGTCAGTTTAATCTAGTTTCCTCAACTAAGATGGATTAAAACGACTTCTACCCCAAGCAGTGACATACAGACTCTGACAAAATGAGATCCAAATGAAATAACTCACCTGGGTTTGTCTAGCATAGATATCTTAATGAATAGAAAACATGACAATGTTGATGATAAATTAATTACTGAACGTAACATGGTCAGCCCTTATCGAGGAAAAACTGGTTTCGTTCTCGACCAATATTTTCTCATTACAGGCCTCACGATAGTGTAACATCTTTGTTAGGTACGCCGGCTCGTAATCAAAGGCGGATGAATTTGTTTTGTTTTCGCAACTGTCGTGCATTGGCCATCCCTAATTTAAGCGTCACACTCCCATATAAAGCCACACGCTGGTACATGTAGACCTTTTTGCAACAGCTTTAAGAGACTTTAATTCCTCATACATAAAAGCTTAATGTAAGCTAATAAATAAAGTGAGCAAATGTTAAAAGAAAAACTCCGCCTCAATAAATTTCACGAGTTAAGTAAGTTGAGTTTGATGCTGGTGAAAGTTTTTGCGTTTTAAAATACTAAAATAAGCTTTACCAGGTTTAACAATTCAAATCTGAACGTATTTCAATAGCCTAACAAACTCCCTTCCCGTAAATACATTTTTAAAAAGCTAATATTACAAAATAATATGATACTAGAATTGTGAATGCCAAAATGGCATCTTTACTCCATAGCATATCGATCAGCAACTTCCTTCCAAATTTCAACGCTTAATTTTAAGGTAGCATGAAACAAAATGCCTCGAATCTTCAAGAATAGTTACAATAATATTATTTGATGACAAAAAATGCAATTTTCTCAATCGAGAAACCGTATTTAGGTTGTTCGGCGTGTCTCGGAGCTGACATGTCCAAGAATTGATTTAAGTCACGCAATATTTATCATACCAGTGGCCCGCTAAGCAAAATGCTGTTGTATATCACGACTAAATGCTAGTCCTCTGGGTCTGGCGTGACTCTTGGGCATACCTTGGGTAATTTCTCATACATTTCTTGTAGCAATTTCTTTTCCGCTCGGTATTTATTCAGATCAACGGTGTATTTCTTGATGCTTTCCTTAATGAAATCACTCTGTTGTTCCACTGCCAAAACTTCACGATCCAACTGACGCACGGTGTCCGTGTCATTCTGGAGCTGCTCTTCAAGGTTATTCAACCTCGACATATTTACGTTGCCCAAGCCATCAATCTCCGCCAACAGTGCTAGCAACTTTTCAAGTACATCTTGTATTTTATCTCGAGCTTCTTTTGCCGCCTCGCCAGCTTCCTTAGTTTTGTTCAGTGCGTCTTTGATGCTCTGTCCCTGTGCTTCAGCGGTGGTCTTGTAGTCAGACAACTGACTGGCGGCTTCTGATACGGGTGCAGTCACACTGTCTCGTGGGATTGTAAGCTCTTCTGCCTCTTTCTTTATCATTTCAGCCTTCTGTTGGAGATATATAGATTGACTCCCTCAGCCTCAACATCGAAGTATCAACTCTCCTTAATGACTATCTTACATTTGTCTTAACGTCACTATTGAGAATTTGGTAGTACATCAAGACAACAGACCCTCCGTGAGTTGATGATATTCTTTACTCTCATCACTTGTCTGCTTCACAATATATTACTTCTGTAGCGAGAATTCAGACGCCGATTACTTTTTGGAACTAAGAGGTTAACAGCATGTCCAAATAGGTGACTGTTCGCATCTACAGCAGCCCCGGGTGTGAACACTTTACAGAGAGTCCTGTAAAAGGGCGGGTGGGGCGGTGGTGGTGGTGGTGGTAATTTTCATTGTCATTTTCGTTGTCCCAGTGAAAAACTCGGCAAATACCCGTTCCCATTTTACCCCTTAAGACCTCTCTCAATCAACAGGCATTCGTTTAACAGAATATAGTTGAAATCTGGCCAAAAAGGCCACATTACCACGTTTTGCTGAACAAGAGCTTTTCGAGATCAGTAGAACCCCTGTAATAGAGGTACCTCGCACATAAACACACTAGGAACTTGTCTGAATTTTCCACGTCTTTCCAGACACGACAACGTTAAATTTTCACATAGTCTAATGAACTGATAACCCGCTCCTCACCTGTTGCGTTTGGTTAGCTATATCTCGCGCCCCCTCGGCTGTTGACGCTGCTTCTTCGGCCAGCTCCTGTGCATCACCCAGGTTAGCGGTAGCCTCATCTGACTTGTTGTTTGCTGAACTGATAAGTCGCTCAACTTCCGTTATGTTAGCTTCGGCTAAATCAGCCTCTGCTCTGGAACTGTCTATGATTTCGTTGAATTTCTGGAAAGTCAGAATCAACAGTCTTAGATTTAAATTCTGCGATTGAGAATCAACATCCCACCCATGCATCACTCGGGTAGAGGACGCGAAAGAAGAAGAAGCACCCTGGTGTACAAGCACGTTTTGATAGTTTATAACTCAAAAACTCGATTTTGTCGAATCATGAATCGATATTTACAGCAGCATTGTCATCAAGAATTATTACTTTTGATGGTAACAATTAGACTTTGTTGCTATTGTTTGACAATTAGCCTTTTAGAAGCCTATGTTTCAAGAGGGGCTTGATGTATAAAGAGAAAAACATAATAAGTAAAAGTTATGTTGAATGCCTTGCTAGGTATTCCAGCCTTTAGTTCTCGCTCTGCCAGACTGACAAAAGGCACCGGAGGGCTTCAACAGCTGTTTGCTGCTGTTAATAGGGAGCTTAAGCAATGACGACGACTACGCAAAAGACGACGCCTAGTAAAAAATGATTCATACTTTAACTTCGATTTTCGCAATTATCTAGATCTGTTTAGTAGGCCGAACGGTGTAGAAACCTACTCAAACTAAATATGTAATACAAGGGATAAATTTTAAAAGGAAAAACGAAAAATAAACCGTCGTGACTCCCGTTCTCCAAAAAGCACAGAACTTGGTCATTTCACGGCTACGAAATGTACAAAGCCGTTGCAGTCAAGGTTTGCTCAAGCTCTCTAATACTCAGAGTGTGTTGAAACCTTCCACCATAATCCCCTCGCTTGAGCATAGTGACAGGCTGTGCAAGTTTGCCTAGCTCTACATCACTGCACCTGGCACTAAGCCTTACGCAAACGTTCTGCCCCATTTCAAATCATGAACTGATCAAAGGCCACACTTCTTAGTCTAAATGTTACCTTGAGTCTCTCTAACATGTCTTTAGCCTTTTTCAATGTCTCCTCCCCTCGATCAATGGCATCATGCGCAGTTTTGTTAGCATCAGTGACATTTGTCATCAGGCCCTCTAGTCTTTCAAAAAGGCCTGACCACTCAGCCATTTTCTTTCTGACGTATTCTTCTTTCATGTCAAAGCTCTCAACTAAAGTCTCCAGGGTACTGAGGATCTCTTCAGCACTCTTGGACGCGTTGGCCACCTCTTGTTTGGAGGTGTTAAGTTTTGCTGAAAGGCAATCAAATTCTAATAACGGAGCTTTGAACAAACAATTAAGAATAATAATCACCGATAATAATTTCAAATGACGTTTAAATGACTCGTTCATCATTTTCAAATTCCTATGACTTCTTTATATACTAAGAATGCATGTGAAAGTCTCGTTGCCTGTGATTTAAAACTCTACAATGTGGAATGTAGAGAGTGTTGATTAAGTACTAAATAGTTTTGCTTTAATTGAGTGTTATCCACGAAAAGAAACCTAAACTGAACACTCGATCTGACTCAATTAAAGCAAAACTATTTCATTGCTATTCTCGTCTCCAGATTCAGCTTAAAGAATTTAGCAGGACTGGCATGAGAATTGTTTATCACCTCATTTAAACGCTTGAAGGCTGGAAACCGGAATCATTCACCAATTTTGTCACATCTCCTTGATCGCTTTTACGTAAAAAATATCGTAGTACTAGACAAGTAGAAAAGATATTTGTTCGTCTAGTTTTTTGAAATCCACTTTGTTTTCTGATCGGGCGTATTTTCCTAAGAACCTAACCCGCCCATCGGACAAGTTGCTTTTTAACATACCTTGCATTTCCGACAATCCGAGGTCGGGGAGAGGTGCGGTTCCATTCCCGTACAGCTCCACAGCCTCGTCCATTGCATTCTGGGCTTCTTCACGTGACTTTTCAGCTGCGCTTTCCGCCTGTTCGTGCAGATCTATGGTTCTGTTAAACTTCTTCAGTAATTCTTCTATGCCATCAGTTGTCTTTTCCTGTGCATTCATCGCGTGTTCTGTAGCATTTAGGGCTTGTTTAGACTTGTGGAGAGTTTCGTTCGCCTTTTCAATGACATCCTCCGCTTCCATTTCGTGTTTATCTGCTAGAATAGTGGTCTACAGAAAGAAACACAAGCCGGTGATAAAATGAACAGTTGAGACTGAAGGTATCATCATTGAGCCTAAGTTTATTATTAACGATCTAACAGAACTTTTAATAGAAAAGGATTACAACTAGGACTTAAGCTTTAAAACACCAAGAAATGTCAAAAGCAGTCGAGGTTAAAAGGAAATTCGAAAATCTTCACAAAATTATCTTGAAATGGTCGTTGTGGCAATTTTCAACCACAATATGACGAAGTAAACTAGCCCAAGTTAACAGACGCCTCTGCTTAATTAATTCGGCTTTTCATGTTCAGTTTAAGAAAATCAAAGATGCAACCCATAGTGACTACATAACTCTACAAAGATCAGTCTAATATCATGGACTGGTTGCCAGTTGAGCATCAAAGTTCAAAACAGAATCAACCCTATCAAAAAGGACATTACCTCATTCAAGATCTCCGCCATTCTTATGGCTTGTTCACTGGAGCTGTTCGCTGCTTGTATCGACTCATTTAACGCCCTAGCACCCTTGTTCAGCAACAGCTTCTCTGCCTCGTCAAGCAATGCACGTGATCGATTGATCGACGCCTCGGCTTCAGATATATTCCCCAGCGCACTGGCTATGATCCCTTCCGCCTCGCTCGTGTTGTTGGACACATCCGATATGACCTTATTTATTTTCTCCACACGGCTGTCCAAGACCTGAAGCTGCTCCTGTAGGGCTTTGTCTGTAGAGTTCGAGCTTTCTGCCTTGTTGAGCAGTTCATTCACTGCTTCCGACAATTCCTTCAGGCGACGCTCAAAGTTTGCATCCACGACAAGTTGTCCGCTTGAGCTCGAGTTGAAGTTGTTCATGATCTTCACGAGCCTTCGGATGTTTATTCGCAAGCGGTTAACTAATCGTTGGATTTCACTATAACATGGCGGGCAACCTACGGCGAAAAAAATATCACAAGCATTATTACATCCACTACTGCTACCGTAATCCCATGATTATCTCGACGACATCGTTTTCGAGAAGTTCCGTTTTCTTAATATTTTCCGACTACACGAAATTGAAAAGCCGGCGTTTTCAAATTCCTCTGGTTTGAAAAGCGGTTATGGGAAAAGATCCGTTTTCGTGACGGACTAGTGTAGACGATAGGTCCGAACCGTAGAAATATAACTTCATTTTCAAAATCCTCCGGTTTGAAGAGCGTTTTCGAAAAGCTCCTGTTTCGTGACGGATTAGTGATGACAGGGCCTAAGATTGCCTGGCTATTGTGTTAATATTATTATTATTATTATTATTATTTCAGCATTGTAGCAGTACTTACTGACACAGCCGGCAGTCAAGTTATGTTTATTTTCCTCGCATGTACCACACTTGATGCCCAGTACTCCAAACTTGCAGTTGCATTCTCCGTATTCATTACAGCTCACATTAAGAGAGCCTTCTGGGTTGCAGTTACAAGCTGAGGAAAGAAACACGATAAAGTTTACAAAGATTTCTATAATACATCCCACACAACACCAAACAAATATCTCACACACCAAAATCCCACTGATAATCAGCTCCTCTGGCAACAAGGCCACCTAAAATAAGCTCAACAAAAATAACTTTTGAAGAAAAATACTTGTACGACCACGCCCAAAGTATATTATCAGAATTTTGTAGTAAACTAAGTGTATATTGAGATAAGACTGAGAGTGGATAGATAACCGAATCTTAGTTTTTTTGCGACCAGCATCGTTTACAATTTAAGGTTCTTTATAATTGGCCAAACGAAACTACACAAACAATGCCCCTATCCCTAAGAACAAAAGAGGTGAAGATTAACAAGAAAGAACCAAAATAGGGGTTTTTACTGAAGAGGTCTACGTTAACTGTTTTTTAAGCGTGCATCCGCTGGTGCACACTCGACAATCTTGAACATTCTCGGCATGAAGTAAAACGTCGCTCAAACATGAAACTGAAGGGGTATCTCGTGCAAGACATAAAAATGCAAACGTCCAATGTGTGTACATTATCCACCGATTTTTTCCCTATCAAAGAGAGTAGAAAGCGACTACGAAGCACATATCTACAACGTGTATGATTCCTAGCTACGCCAAGAACCTTGGCTGGGTGCTGAACGAACGCCAAAAAAGATTTTCAAGCTTCAAGCTTTTCATGCCTTCCAGTCCTCTTTCAAAACATTGCGAGGTTTATAGAAATTGGTATACGCATCATCATCTGGTATTCTCATTCTACTTACGTTCACAGCCCTGGTCTGAGTACCCGTAATGGTCTGACTGACATTGATCACATGTCCTTCCAGTCACCCCAGGTTTACACGGACACTGGCCGGTAATGACTTCACAACTATTGTTTAGAGAGCCAATGGGATTGCACAAACACTGCTCACAGCCAACTCCTGAGCCCACATTCCAGTAGGTATCTCGGCAGCTGTCGCACTTGTCTCCAATAACATTTTCCAAGCAAGTACACTTGCCTTTATCGTCACAAGGGAGGGGATACTCCGGGTTGTGGTCAGGAGGGGTCATTGTGCCTTGATTGTAGCAGTCGCAAGCTGGAGGACAGAAAGAGGCAAAATGTTCACAAGAAGGACAGAAAGTAGCATGGAGTAGAAGCACCTCTACGATGAAAGTTCCACAACTGAAAACTACACTTGACCAAAAAAAGAAAACAATTGTAAAAGCACCCTAGCCACAATATCTCCTTCTTCTTTAAATCCTTTCAACCCATGTGGGGCATGAATCTTTTAAGTTGCCTTTCCACCCCTTCCCTTCACATGCTCCTCTCAGCAGCTAGTAGCAGTTAAAACCTGCAAGCCACTTCTGACCCTCTTTTGCTTACCCCATTGGTTCCACCTTTAGCTCTGCTTGGCGATGCTGGTGCTTGCTTCCTCAGACACCAGGTAAGCCACACCCTTGGACAGCACATTATCTAGCCTCTGTATTTGACAACTACATTGCCAATTATGCTACCAGCGGATCAGTTTTACACTTGCATTAGTCTCTAAATGCAGTTGAAGTTAAGTGTGTGTGTGTACTGTTTAAGTTTCCATTACTTACCAATGCACTGTGGCTTTGGATATTCAGTAGCATTTCCATAAAACCCAACTGCACAAAGTTCACATCTCTCAAGCGGGCCATTCCTAGTGTTGTAAATACACTTTAAGCAGTCGCCTGTGAGAGATTGACAGTTCCCAATGGCATTGAAGTCTATATTGCCACTGCAGTTACACTTCTGACAAGCAGTTGGCAAACCCAAAAGGCCCGATGGGTCACCATAGTAACCATCTTGACAGTACTCACAGAGATCCCCTGAATGTCCCTCAGGACAATCTGTGCAAACAACATTCTCGCCTATCAGAATGCAACGGGAACCATATTTGCAGGGACATGGTTTGCAGTCATCTTTGGTACCTTCAGTTGGATTACCATAGAAACCTTCTTTGCATGTCTCACAGTTGTCACCAATTGTGTTGTCTTGGCAATAGCAAACACCTGTCACTGGATCACATGACTCAGAGTGACCATAACATTGGCAGGGAACACACCTAAAATCAAAGAAGGGTTAAGGGTGCCATGCCCATTGAAGAAAGAGCCACAAAAACTAGAAATGGAAGGATTTATTAACTAAAGACTGTTTGCAATTCAGTCAATCCCCTCTTAACAGACACGTGGCTGACGTTGTCACATGGAGTCATCCTTAGTCATTTATGCATCTTCCCAATTTAAAATGTCAAGTAGGACATAGGACCCACTTTGACCTATTTCTAGATTGAACACTGCCTTTCACCGAGTGCTGAAATATTCAAAATCCAGCTTGTCAAGGTGGAACACTTCACAGTATGATTTTTTGACATAAATTACTTACTGGCCATATTTATCCTCGGATCCTCTCTGTCTGGTATAGCCCACACTACATTGCTCACAATTATCTCCCGTGTAAGGAGCTGGACAGCTGCACTCTTCAACCCAAGGAACACGTAAAAGAGACTGTGGTAAATATACTGCTGACTCCATGAAAACATTGTCAATCAAGCCAGTCCCCTGAGGTGCATAGTTCATTCGAATTTTAATGGCTAGTAAACTGGTTAGGAGTTTTTGGAAGTCAAACCCTCTGAGCAGTGGTTCCCATCCCAAAGATGGGTCTTCATGAAGACGAAACAGATAGTTTTGAAAAGTGGTAGAAGGAACAGGGTTGTTCTGTGCATTGAGCCTTGCAGAGACCTTTAGTCCATTCTTTCCCTCCAGAATAATGTCTCCGGGTTTCACCTGAACTCCTTCAGTTGCAGCCACACGGAAGGTAAACCCAAAGAGCTGGCCATAACTGCTGCGGCGGTCTCCAAGAAATTTATCTGGGGCTGATATATAAAGGACTTCATTTCCTACAGCTGTTACGCTGATGTGGGAAGATTCACGAAGGATGATATACTGCTCAGTTACATTAGTACCTGTTGAAATAAGATAAGCACAACAATATCAAAATATGAACAAAAATGAGAAAAGTTGAGTAAATGATGACCAACACAATAAAAGTGATTACAATAGTGCTAAAATGTTTGCAACAGAAAAAAAAATGAATGCATAAACAAGCTTAGATTTAACAGTAAAGTTATGTATTTTTTCAAGCCCACAAGTCATGGGCAGCCTGTGTTTATAAGGTATGTTACATCAAGATTCTGCCAATGGATGTACATGTAGAGAGGTACATGTACTTGAAAAGTGAACATCAGTAGTCCCATGAAAATCAACACACAAAAACAACAGCCCGATCAATGTCCTTAGACCCTTTCCAGCATTGTGTCAGGCTACTGTAACAGCATGCCGATATCTATCTCTATTTATAACCTTGATGGACAGAGGCACTACAAGGCACCAGGGCTCATTCACACTAGACTGACAAGATTTGATTGGCTCTACCAAAAATCAAAACAAATCTTCAACCAATGTTGGATTTGATGAAAGTATAAAAGTGTCTGTGCTTCAAAATAACAAATTATTTGCTAACTGTAAAATGTCAGTCACCTACAAGATTAAACACCGTCTGTTCATCATGAAACAACTTAATTGATCTTTCCTCTGAAGTTGATTGACAGACCTGCCAGTTTTGCCTGCACAGAAGTAGTACAATGGCACTTTTGACCTTTGGGTAGAATTAACAAAATTTATAGGGCTGAAAATCACTGTTTCAGTTAGCTCTAAATTAAATGTAACATAGAATTGATGACAGACATTTTTGCAAAATAAGCAAAAAATTCACTTGGTGCTTGCAAGGACTAAGAACACAAGATAACTCTGGCTAGTGCCAAACCAAGACTGCCTGATCCAGAGTTTAACATGCTGGTGACGTAGGTCATTACTTCTCTAATATGTCAATCTGGAGTCCATTGCAGTCAAGGGCCGGGCACTGGGAAATTGACTGGCTGTGAGGATAATTTTGCCTGCCTTGTCTGACCATCTAAAGGAAAACTTCTCTAAAAAGAAGTTCAGCTCAAAAAGGTTTGCCTGCCCATAAAAACCAGTTGCCTTCCGGCTGAAATCGTTAATGAAGCCCTTGTCTACACCCTCAGAATATTGGCAGAATTATAACATGTACCTTGCTCATTGATAACAGTCCAACCTTCTCGACCTGACGAGAACTGATTTGAAATGTTATATCCAGTATAACCCATAGCTGCCTCACACACACTACTGTGTCCATAACAGAAGCACTGTTTACATCCATGTGGGTTTGTACTCTCCAATCCATAGAAGCCTGTCTTGCACTGTGTACATTTGGCACCAATGACATTCCTTTTGCATGAGCACTCCCCCTTCTCATTACACTGTGTGTTACTGGGGTCAGTTCCTTCAGGAGAACACTGGCAAGGCCTGAAAAAGGAGCACAAGAAAACTGAAGCTCGCATGATGCAGAAGATGAGGTATTGTTGCAGAGGAAGTATCCAAAAGATGTCAAATGTCTGTTTTCAATAATTTTGTTTAGTAAACCTACCTACAACCCGTCTGTGAAAAGCCAAAGTAGTCTGCCTGGCATTTGTCACATTTGACACCTGTCACTCCAGGTTTACAGGTGCACTGGCCTGTTGGATCGCACTGTAATGACACTGAGCCCACAGGGTCACACTTACAAGGCTGACAGTCATCTGAAGAAGTCAGGCGGAAGAAATTGTCACGGCATTGTTCACATTTTGGACCAGCTGTATTTCTCTTGCAGTTTTCACAGCGTCCATAGCCAAGGTTCTCATCATACACACAACTGTCTGCTAAACCACTACAGTCGCACTCTAAAGAAACAGTCATACAGAAAATATATTTTATCAGTCACAAAAAGCCCTTTCAGACTTCTACAGAGTTGTAAAAAATGTGCTCTTACTAGGAAGACTTACAGGAATTCTAACTACAAATTCCAGGGTTCCCAGTACTAAATATAAATTTTGGACATTAGTAACCAATTCTTGTCCCTACAAAATCAGGGAATTTGACAAACCTAAGAAGGTGCCACAAAATATATTTATAGTATCAATTAAACATTCCAGTCTGAAACCCACTGAATTTAGGGTAGTACATGTCAGATATTTTGTTAGAAAATTGATTGCAAAAACAGGTTGATCATTTTATGCCATTTTGTTTTCCTATTTC